CCCTTCCCAAAATAACTTCAACGGAAGGTTTCCAGATGGATATGCGGAGCAGATTAGGTCTTTAGGATGAACTCGTCTCTGTTCTCTTTCTCTTATGGATGATGTGCTTCTTTGTGTCGCTCTGTCTCTAAACATTCAGGTTTGTTTCAGTAAAGTGACGGAATATGAAAAGTTTGTTGAATAAATCCTCCTGTCAGGAACTTTATTAGTATTTTTCACAATAAACAGCAAACATCGACCGTTTGAAATAAAGCAGCACATCCAGTCACACAGGAGTTCGTTTATTGAAGCACAGCTGGAGGACGACACTGAGCTCATCCAGAGAAAAACACAAACACACACATCCACTGATATCTCACTACGGTTTTAATAGAAATAAAAAGCTGCAGGAAAACCTTGATTTTAGCACCAGAACCCAAAGATCTGTTCTTTAGCAACGATTAAGGAGGACCGAGGTCCTGGGAAATAATGAAACATTAAAGCTCAAACCTCTGGATGTTTTTTCACGTTTTATACAAAAAGCAACAGAAATCATGCAGGAAGGAGTTCTTCTCTGTTTTAAAGCATTTTTTGCAGAAATATTTAGAAGATGAAACGCTCTTCGTTCCCTGGGAGTCTAACAGACAGAAGTTAAAACAAAATAGAGCTCTGAGTTTTTTTTATTAATCTTAATTTCTGCTTCGAATATAAAACTGTTAATAATCTGTATGAATCTTGAATGAAACAGAAAGCTTGAATCAGGAAGATGCCATGAATAAAAATAAAGGCTGTAAATGAAGAAGAAGTAGCAGGAAAGCAGTAACTCCAGCTGTGAGGTAATACAGTACACATGAAGAACCAGAACCAGTAGAAGCTGATTTTCTGCTGTGGGATCCTTCCTGCTCGGCTTCAGGTGTTTTTGCTTATAAGGGATGATTTGGGTCAAATATAAACAAAGTCCAACTTTAACTCGATCAATTCGATCTCTGACTTCGTCTTCAGGCTGGATTCTAGATTCTCCTCAGTACCTGTAAGAGAGAAAAGAATTTGATGAGCAGGAGAACAGATGCTGGCAGCAAATGTCTGCATCTGAGAGACCCGCCTTCATGGCTGACAGGAAACCTTTTAGATTCTGAGTCCGAGGAAAAGGAGTCGGACCAACGATACCTTCAGGTTAGAGGAAGTTTTTAAACTTTTTTTCTCAGGTTTCCCTTTTTTCTAAGCTGTTTGTTTGGAAAAATAGAGTAGTAGAGAATTTTCACAAGTATGGCAGGCCATTTTAGCATTAAATTGGATGTCTGACCACCTTTAGTTCAATTTTGGAGATCCAAAGACGCATTTTTATCAATTAGATCTCCATTTTGACTATATGAAAAAGGATTTTCATTTCTGATTGGTAAAAACATTGATGGTTTTAGACAGGGGCCGACAGGGGCCCCTGAAGAACAGGACCTGCCCCCCCCAATGATCACATTTAAATGGAAGCCAAACAGATTCATCATTTAATCTGTAAATAAATCCAGGACAGTCCATCAGAAACCAGCAGAAAAACAGACGAGTTGAGCTAAAAGCGTCTTTGAACTCGTCCCTAAAGGTCGATAAATGGAGCATTTTAGCAGATCGGGCTAAAAAACATGAGAAAACGCTGAGATTCTAAACATCATTGTATGTAATTTAGAGGGATAATTACTTATATCTGACATACAGAAGCTTTTAAATACATCTTAAATAATAAATCATCTTTGAGCTTCTAAAAAACACAATTCTACAAATTGTGTCTCTTATTACCTTCGCTGAGGAGGTCAGTCTGTGTTCAGGATAACATTAAATTTATGAGCAGATTTAATGACATTTTTACCAAAGGTTCACCTCAGTCTAAGGAACAATTCATTAACTATTGGTGATGGTCCTGATCATAATCTGGATGCAGTTTTTATTTTTTAAGATTCTTTAAGATTAGCTGGCAGAACAAGTAGTTCCCCCCCAAACCAGAAGGTGGCAGCACCGACTATTGACAGCTTTAGCATTGGACTATATAAAGTCCAGAAGTATCATACTAAAGACGAAAAGACAGGGAAGGGGAGCCATAACTCAAATAAGAGAGCAGAGTGAATGAAGAAGGTGAGCGCAGAACAAACACCAGAGGCTGCAGTCACACACTGTGGCTTATTTATAAACTTATATAAGGATTTGAAGGAAATTATTACCAGAGGTTTGCCTCATTCCAAGGAATAAACTATTTACATTTGGTAATGATCCAGATCATGTGCCAGTTTTAGCCAGTGTTGCACCGATACCGATACCAGTATCGGACAGGGACCCGATCCAGCACTAAAATGGTGGTATCGGTATCGGCGAGTACCAACCAATAGGGCACCGATACCATTTTGAGAGCCAAAAGTTTCTTCAACTATTGTCACCCATTCCAGGTAGGCAATAAAAAGTTCTACTGGATTCACTTTATTTTCTTTCATTATTTGCGTTGCATTTGTTCCACTATAATGTTATGGTTCTTCCCATTTGTTGTGACTCTGGGTTTTCAGTTTTCTGTTATCAGTTGTTTTGTTTTTATTTTCCGTAATATTCTAGCATTCTTTAGTTACTCTCTGTTGCCCCCTTGTGATAGTTTTCTTTCCCCTTGGATTCCCTCTTGCCAGTTCCACCCACACCTGCTCCTCATTCAGCTCGTTAGTCCATCCTTTGTTCTGTTCTCCTTAAATACTCCACCTCTGCAGTCACTCAGCTCGTCTCCCTGTGGCTCTTCAGGCCCATTTTCCCCCTGATGTCTCCATGGTTTTTGGTTTATTAAACATTTTAGTTAGATTTCTGGATTTGTACCTCTGTTTCCTGTGTTCTTTAATTAAATCAGTCAGAACTCGTCTCTGCTTCACCCGGCTCTGCATCTGGGTCCTTAAGCAACCTCACCACCAATTGTTGACATATAACTTTTCTTTCCTTGTCTCATTCGAGGCATGATCAATTTCCTTGCCACTGAAATTCATTTTATCATTTCAGATGACCTAGAAATAAATACGACACATCTGGGATGATCAGTTATTTCAAGATATCTTTTATAAGTTTAAAATTGTTATCTGAAATATAAATGACCAGCAGTTATAAATGTATTGCAGACATCAGAGGTGCAGCCTTCATTCACCAGGATGGAACTAGAGTTACATCCAATGCATATTTTTCCTGGTTAAATAAGGTTAAGGACGTCTTCTATAACAAGTTTCTCCATAAATCAGTTTCAGGTATGTGGAATGTGAAGGTGATTTAGCAGATTTTATGCCATAACGTCCTGCCATAGTGTGGGAAAACGGTTCTCTGATTAGATCAAATCAATTTGACCCTGGTACAAAAATGCTCTATAAATTGTCCTGAAATCCAACATGGTGGTGGCAGCATCATGCTGTGGGAGGCTTTGCTTGAGCCTTTAATGCTGTGGGTTCAAATTCTAGCAGGAGAGCCACTAAATTAGCCTGAAAGGGATAAAAACTCAGATGCTGATGTAACTTAATAAAAAGTATTTTCAGTAGCGACAAAATCTATCAGCAGGAGAAAAACTTTACTTTGTGCAATAAAAAAAAAACAATTTTCTTGTAATTTTTGTTCTAAAAATAGAAATCTAGAAATGTTTGATAGAGTGTGAATCAACGTTCTTACCCTGCCAGCGTGCATCCAGAGATGTGAGCAGCGTTGCCCGTGTACTGAACGTCACACCGAGCCACGTTGTTGTTATAGTTGGACTCTGGAACCTGCTGTCTGGGATTAACCGTCACCTACAGGAGAAGAAGAAGGAGATCAGCAGGAGAAGCTCACTGAGGAGAAGCTGGAGGCCACTTTCACCAAAACGCAGAAGAAACAGCTTTATCTCCTGTTCTGATGAGCGTTTCATCTGCTGCTCATTAAAAGAACGGATATAAATACACATTCAGACCTTGAGGATGTATTTTCCAGGCTGGACGTCGGTGATGTCGATCCACTGACAGTCGATGTCAGCGTTGTAGGTGTCGTAACACCCGGGACTCAAACCCTAAAGACAAACAACAGGAAAAAAAAAAAGCAAAAAAACTTAAAGGAATAGTACACCCAAAACAAAACTCGAAACGAAGTCATTTAGAATGTTTTTAGAGCATAAACA